GGGCCGCGGGGCTGGCAGGGAGCGGAGGGCCGGGCAGGGAAGGGGTGAGGCGGGCTGGCTCCTCGGGCCGAGGGAACCCCCGGGCCCGGTGGCGGAGGCCTCGCCCGGAGCCATTGACAGCCCCGAAACCCTGCGAAATGGCTTTTCTTTCGGGTGGCGGGGCCGCGGCTGCCGCGCGGGGCCTGAGCTCAGCGCTAACGGGGCGGCGGGCGCGGGGCCTGGGCCCGGGCGGGGCGGCTGAAGCGCGGCGCTCGGGGTTAAAGCCAGCGGCTTCCCCGGGTCAGTCCCCTCGGCAGCCGGGGGACAGGGCCCCTCGTTGCCCCCCTGCGCCTCAGCCCCGCGGGGTCCGCCTTTGCGGGGGAAAAAATAAACTTTATTCCGGTTTGGCACCGATTGAACCGTAATCGGGTTAAAGTCCGTGCGGAATTACCGCCGGGCTCCGTGTGGCTGAGGCGGGCCCTGGCATCCCTCGGCTCTGCGTCCTCGGGGCCGACAGAAGCCACCGGAGATCCCCGGGGGGAGACAGAGCCCGAGCGAGGGCTTGGGGAAGGGAACCCCGGTGCCTGCGTGGGCTGGTCTCCCCACGGCCGGGAGGAGAACCCGCTTCTACAGCCCGTCATTGGAACTGCTGCGAGAGGTGTCAGCCAAAATTCATCAGTTCTTCACAGATTGAGGAGAATCAATCACGTATCGCACAACCGGAGTGATCCCAGTCATGAGCCCGATGTGTATTTGGGGATGAGAAGCTGTTGGGGCGTTTGCAGTGAGAGGGCACCCCATCAGGAACTCTCTTACATGGTGTTTCTTTCACATTTCACGTATTAAAGGAACGAGGGGTAACAGCTGAGGTCTAGGGCTGACATCTGCATTTATGACGGACCAAAGCGAGCCCCTGAGTGCACATTCCTTAGAGGTCTGAGAGCTTCTCAGGGGTTAGTTAGAAGCCAGGGTCCAGGATTTTCTGAGACTAAGTCAAAAGCTGGAACTTCTACACAAAAACCAGATCCATCTGAGCATGAATTGTAAGAAACTGTTAATACTTGTGAAATACTGTCAGGTATGAAACCTACCTGCCCACCTGGTAACACAATATTTCGTCTGTGACTCAGAAGTACACGAAGTTTCTGAACACTGGGAAATAAAGCTGTGTGCATTCCCCCCTACACACTTTTTTTTCCCCTTGCCTTTTATCTTCCCTTTTTTCAAGCTGTCTGCTATTGTCACATCTCTCTCCTCCTTGTTTGGACAAGTTCTGCTGCTGTTTTGGGATGGATCCCATCTGGAACAAAGATCAGACCCGTGCGTAAAACCTGTTCCGCAACATTCTCTTTATTCAGAAAACAAGCAGGAGCTGCACAGCGGGCTCCTGGTGCAATCCTTTCCCAATCCTTTCCCCGGCTCCGGAGCCAGGGAGTTGAGATGGCAGAGCAGGAGTGAAATGAAGAGAACAGAACAGGCTTTCAGAGGGAGCCTCGTGACGCCGACCTGAGGTCCCCCTTGTCCCCCTTGTCGCTGCTACAGCTCCACGCTGGGAGTCAGCCCCCACCCAGCTTTGAAAGTTGAATCAGCTCCCCACAGTCCTGTGTTGGACCATATTCATGTGCTAATTCTTACACTGCAAAGGACGTAAGAGAAATGAACAAACAAACAGAGCCCTGTTCCATTTGGTCTGGTCTGAATTACAGTCAGACCCTGGTCTTAACTGTCTAATTAAATAATAAACATTCCTGAGTCAATAACTTGCGTTACCGTCAGCGCTGTTCCCACAACTTTCGTTTCACACAACGTTCTGCACCGGAGTTTCTCAGGGAGGGATGTGCTGCCCCGGGCTGTGGTGGGGAGGAGGAGGAGGAGGCTCTGCCCCCAGGGTACCCACGCAGGACAGCGTGGCAGCCAGCCAGCCCCCACGCCGAGGGGACGACCGTACTGCCTGTTTCTGGTTATGTTTAATAACAACTCCACAGAAACATTTTCCTAATTCAGTTTCATCCCCTGCCCTGTAGCCGAGGCTGTCCTAAAGCACCATTACGGTCATTTTTTAGGCACCTCTAGTAGTCAGTCCTGGTTCAAGGCCCAGTCCAAGCACTAGGGGTTAGTGTGGCAGAGACCTCAGCGATGGCACCCAGCAGAGACCTCAGTGATGGCACCCAGCAGAGATCTCAGGGATGGCACCCAGCAGAGATCTCAGCGATGGCACCCAGCAGAGATCTCAGCAATGGCACCCAGCACGTCTCCTTAGTGGTGGGATGCTCAGTTCTTGAGACTGGTAGATACTGGCAGAGTGTGAGGGTGGACGAGAGGAGTCCCCAGGGCAGGGGCTGGGAATCGTCATGTGTCACAGCAGGGACTTGCACAAAGCTGCAAATAGGACTTCTTGGATATTAGCAGCCTGGTTGCTTGCAGTTTTAAAACCAAGAAACACTGCCTGAAGTGTGATGTGCCTGGGCAGATCCTGGATGAAAGTGTCCACAGGTCTCTGCATGTTAAGAGGAGTTGGGTACCTGCCCACCTTGAGAACCTAGACCAGTATGTCCACTTGTTTATATAAAATACCCTGCTGTTAGGTTTATGTATTTGGCCACTTCTGCTTTAGCCTCATAAGGAGGAGTAAAAA